GCCAAGAATCTGAAAATGTAATTAGGTCATTATGACCAAATTTGACTTAATCCTCATTTTGATATGATGGATCACATATATTTAAAGGCTAGATAAGTCATAGAAATATATGAAGGCTAGATAAGTCATAACAAAGTCTCCGGCGTGCTCACACGGCGGCCATCTTGGTACAGGAAGCTGGCCCACTCAACATGAATGTGTGTGGTGTATTTACTGTTTAAATTACCATAACTTAGTCAATTTTCATCGGATTTTCAAACGGATTGTTTTGTTGTAAAGATGAGACATGTTGTCATAAAACTGCATACTTATAATGGACATTCCTATAATAACTGTTATTTTGATAGGTAAAATAATATCAATATATATATATACACAGAATAAATACGTTTAGGTTACTTTTACAGGAATTTATAAATGAAAATATAAATCAAAATTTTACACATCTATAAAAATAGTACAAAATAGTACTAGCAGTGGTAATTAATATGAAAGAACCCTGTTTTATATTTTTTCCCTAGTGCGATACACACACCTCTCTCTCTCTCTCTAATATATGTCTAGGGAAAAAAATATAACGGGACTTTCATATTAATTACCACTGCTAGTACTATTTTGTACATTTTTTTTAGACTTGTGTATAACTTTATATTTTTATTTGTACATTCCTGTAAAAGTAACCTAAACGTATTCTGTGTATATATTATTACTTTACCTATCAAAATTACAATTATTAACCTTTAAAACAAAAAAAAAAGTTTGAAAATCCGATGAAAATTGACCAAGTTATGGTAATTTAAACAGTAAATACACCACACACATTCATGTTAGGAGTGGGCCAGCTCCCCCTCCCAAGATGGCCGCCGTGTGAGGACGTCGGTCTCCATTGCCCAACAGTGGGTATGACTTATCTAGCCTTTATATACTGTATATCTATGGCTGGAGGATGTGCAGCTGGAGGGAGGGACGACCTGAGAAGAAGTCCCGGATGTCGGCCTCTGTGCAGGAGTAGGGCAGTCCTCGGAGATGGACCACTCCGTCCTCTCCTCCAGAACGGCCGGACTGCTTCATGAATTCTTCAGCCTCGCGCTCCGTCACCTCGAACACTGCGAACAGGCTCACAATGATCTGGATGTTCTGGTTTTGTTAGTTTTTAATAATTAATTTGTCCCGATCGGAGAGCCGTACCCTGAATGTAGCGCGGGCCCAGGTACATCCGGTGCTTGTCCAGAGCTTTTATCATGTCCTCCTCGTGCTCCAGCTCCAGGAAGGCTATACCCGACGGCCTCCCCATGTAGTCCAGGGTCAGGTGGACCCCCTTCTCCCCGTCTCGGATCCGGCAGTCTGCGGTACGATGACGTGATCCGGTTTACATGTGAGACTGTGCGTGTTTTACAGCAGGTGTTTGGAGGAGGAGCTCACCTGAGAAGAAGTTCACCAGGTCCTGCTCCGTGGTGGACCAGGGCAGACCTTTGACCTGCACCAGGTAGACCTCCTTGTTTCCTGGTCCTGACTCAGGCTGGTAGGTCGGCAGGGGGTACATCTCTTCCCATGGAGATTGGGCCTGGAGGACAGGAAGGATCTGGATTTATTTCTGATTCTGGTTTCAAACTGACTCTGTTTCAGCTGTTCAGGATTCAGAAGCTTCGGCTCATTCAGGAGACGCTTAGAGAGAGAGACTCGTACTTTAAAAACTACATCTGCAACATGTGCTGAACTTCTGACACTTTCAGCTGACATTCTACTTTTATTATTATTATTTAGCTACTGTTCTTGCACATTTAGCTACTTTTCTGCTACTATTAGTCTTTAGCTACTGTTCTTGCACTTTTAGCTACTATTCTGTTACTATTAGTCTTTAGCTACTGTTCTTGCACATTTAGCTACTATTCTGCTACTATTAGTCTTTAGCTACTGTTCTGGCACATTTAGCTACTATTCTGCTACTATTAGTATTTAGCTACTGTTCTGGCACTTTTAGCTACTATTCTGCTACTATTAGTCTTTAGCTGCTGTTCTGAAACTTTTAGCTACTATCCTGCTACTATTAGTCTTTAGCTACTGTTCTGAAACTTTTAGCTACTATCCTGCTACTATTAGTCTTTAGCTACTGTTCTGAAACTTTTAGCTACTATCCTGCTACTATTAGTCTTTAGCTGCTGTTCTGAAACTTTTAGCTATCAGTCTGCCACTTTAGTCTTTAGCTGATGGTTTAACGCTTTTAGCTGCCACTCAGCTTCAGTTTAGCCACTTTTAGCATGCATCATGAGACTTTTAGATATCATTGTTACCACTTTTAGCTTACATTTAGCTACATCTTGGCCAGGTTTAGCTGCTATCTGATCATTTTAGCTAGCTGAGTCTGGACTTTAGCTGCTCATAATCAAATGTTTGTTGACCAACATGTGGTCACAGACTGATAAAATGGCGGGGACACCCGGACATTGTTACCGGTCTCACATTGGTGCAGAAGCCGTGCTGGATGCATCGGGAGGCGGGCTGGAGGTGCCAGGCCGTCCTCAGGTGGTCTGTTGGGGTGTGTGAGGTCCATGTCCGCGGATGAGTGGAGCTCCAACAGACGGACGGAACACCGCTGCGGCTTCTGGCCGCTGCCGCTAGCAGAGGTAGCCGCCTGGCCGCGACACACCGCCGCAGTAAGAACGACACAGACCCGCTGGTTCCGAACATTCCACCCGAACAGAACTTCCCGAACGTTTAAAGCGGATTTCTGAGAGCGGCTCCTCTTGATTTATGCGGCTACTAGCTTAACACTAGCTTAGCACGCAATCAATGTGGGACAGCGGTCGACAAGGGCAGAGCACGAGCGTTTCAACCAAGGTTCCGTCAACACCGCCTGTTTCCGGTTTGAGACTTCAAAATAAAAGCTAATGCATTTTTTTAAAAACACATTTATTTAATTTTATAACTAATACTAAACGCTGACAATAATGAATCTATCTGGAATAAATGTTATTGAGTAAAATAAATTATTTATTGTAGCTGGATGTGATATTTTAAAACTAACTGGAGTTTGTTGAGTTGAACATTTGGTTTTAAGACTTTAATTACAGGTAAAAAAATCAAAAAGAAAAAAATGTAAAGTTGTTCTGGATGGGCTCTTCTCTAATGAAACGTTTCGGTTACAGGTAATATATTTGAATAAATTAGATTTATTTGGAGTAAAGTGGGTTCCATACATTTTGATATAAAGTTAAATCTGTCACATATTGGGATAAATATGAAGCTAAATGAATTTAGCAGTAGCTTTCACATAAAAATACTATACATTATATTAGTAAGTAATGCATTAAATAAATAATTTTATTAAACTTTGTTTATCAAATCATTGATTCTGTTTTTAAAATCTGCTTTTGATTAAAAAAGAAAAGAACTAAAGTGCCACAAAACCTACAAACACTTTCTTGTGTCAATAAAGTTATTTTGTCGTTATTCCTCATAAATAAAGTTATTATAAGGACTTGTTCTTATCTATAAATCTATTTATCTGTTGATATTTTTAATAAAGTTTGGCTCTTAAAGCTGCTGCAGATGTTTAATTTTGATCAGTTCACTCTCAGGAAGTGAAATTACCTCATCTCACTTCAAACTTGATGTTTCACAATTTGTGTCTTCCTCTCTTGTAGAATATTATGCTAACACTGCCATCTATGGGTTCATGGATGGCCTACAATAAACACAGGAACCCAATATTTATT